ATAGTAGTGAACATAAATATATATGTTAGAGGTCACAAAACCCAAAGTCCTAGAAACCTAGGAGTTTTTAAACGAAAATACCCAACTGACTTTACTTAACGATATGGACTTAAAAACTATGGGAGAATGTAGTACACATTCTAGTGAACATAAATATATATATTAGAGGTCACAAAACCCAAAGTCCTAGAAACCTAAATGTCTTTAAATGAGAGTAGTCAAGTTGTTTTACATGTTGATATTATGATTTAAATTTAAATGCAAGTTCATGATTGATTTCATTTTATTCTTTTTTATTTATTACATGTATATACTATTATTCAAATTCAAATCTATATTAATTTTTTATTTTATTTGATGCATTTATACGAATGACATTTTTAAAATAGTGTTTTACTTCAAATTATTTATTTATGTTCTTTTCAGCTTTTTTATGAATTAAATGTTTGTAACAGTATTCAGTTTCAATTCAAATTATTTATTTGTTTGAGGCATTTTAATGAATTACATGTTTATACTATAATTTAAATTTAAAGTTAAATGAATTAGTCATATAATCTGGTGCATTTATTGGAATTAAAAGTTTACAGTACTATTGACTTAAAATAATAAAGTAATCTGTTCTTTTATGAAAAGGAAAACTATTGTATTTGTTACATTTAATAAATGTGACACTCTACCTTCTAGTTTAAATTGTATATTTATTCTGGTTTTCATAATGTTTTTCTCTGTTTACCTTTTCGATAGAAAAGATGAAAGTTATTATTGCATTCACTGTTTGTAGAAATGTATATTCTAAAAATTTACTTCTCATGGACTCATCGTGTGATTTGTTTCAGATAAAATCGTTAGAATAGAAAAAATGATGTAGTCATTTCTCACATAGATTCACAACTACGATGTAGTCCTAGCTGAAGTATGTTTTATATACGTCATTTCCATTTTCTTCTAATGTTCCATATGTTTAGTTTCTTTTTTTTTCTGAAATATAAAATAGATATTCACTTTGAATCTCAACGGTCCATAAGTCTCTGTTTTCTTTTTTTGGTTTGACTAAAGATAAAACTTCGAATATATTTCACATCTTAGTATTTGCATAAAGGAAAGAAAGAAACAAACAAAAAAAAAACAAAAGTGTACATTCTATAATACGAGAAGAATAAATATAAGAAAAAAACGTCGAAAAAATGAAGTCACCAAATGTCGTTTTTTTAAATATATTTTCGATCGATTTCTTTTCAACAGCATGTAATTAGACTATCTGCTGGTGTATTCTCATATATATATTCGAGTGTACAAAATTTATTGAATAGAATTCAATTTGGTGGGCATTTGAATCTAGTTGAAGATCCAGCCCCTTCTATCAAGAGGTGAAAAGGTTATCTTGAAATAAGCCAGACAGTAGGAAACAAGAAGAATTAAATTTTACTAATATGTTCCTCGTCACATGCACAACCGTTATGAACAGAACGAAAAAATAAATGAAATTCGATTCATGTAAAGGTCACCAGACGGAAGACCGTTACCGACAGAACGAAAAGAAAAAAAGAAAAAGAATGGAAACAATAAACCTTGATTTTTGTCTGACCCATAGAAATGTGACTAGATCCTATGTGTGAGTCGATTGTTAGCTAGCAATAGTGCATGTTTTCCTTGATTTATTTATTTATAAATTTTATTTTTGTTCGTGGTGTCTTTCAGATTAATTATAATTCCAATGAATAAAATATCATCCTATTGTTGTTCTATTTCGATTTTTTATGTAATTTTTTAAAAACACAGAATTGAATTTCTATCTATTTTTTTAATTTTTTTTTTCGATAAATATGAATGACATTGTGTAATTTTATAGTTGAACTGTTTTTTTTTCCTACAGTATAGTTCTAAATATTCTTTTGTCGAAAAAAAAAGAAATATATTATTTTTTGTATGTTTGGAACATGATGGAAAATAGTCGGAATCAACTTCAACAATATGTTATATTTTTTTGTAATATTTTTTTTGATGGATTCGTTGGAATAAAATTCAACAAAATCATGTATCACAGCTGAATATTGACTGTGTTAATGAGATTAATTATGATTGAGCGTTTGTTTAATATCTGTATACGTTTAAAATCGACAGTATGTTCTTCAGCCAGACAGACATGACACGTGATCAATTATTACTTAACCTTTGACCGGTTCCAGACAGAGAGAAATAAAACATTTAAACTTTTCTTTCTGACCACATGCTTATCCAGGGTAGTCGAGAAAAGAAAATCAGGCTTTCGCTTATGTAGACGGCCACGAAAAATATAATTTTATCTTTCCTTAGATTTGTGGACCTATATAAAGGCCAAACTTTCTCTATTTTATTTCATTTCGCTGAATTCAATTCTGAATAGGATGTTCATCTTGTTGATGCTGCTACTGTCTTATATTTATCTCTCTTTCATATTTATATCTTACACACTTACAGAAAATTCATTAATGATACTTGGATTCCATAACGAAAAATAAATCCGAGGATACCACTACCACTTTGTGTTATATATTACACGATTTCATATATTTTCCGCCATCATTCTGTTATGTCAATTCTTCGTCTCTCAATGTTTTGTTCTAAAGTCATTCAATCTAACACACATATCATCCAATTTCATTGATTTTTCTGCCTACTTCAACAAGAATTTTGTTTTCTTAAATTCATCTAAAGATAATTTTTTTTTTTCTTTTTGTTTGAAATTTCTTCACAACTTTAATCGATCTGCCTATCATCATGATTTCTACCGGTGCACATGACATTCAATGCAATAATTACTCATTCGATAATGACAATAACATCTTCACGGGAGAAGGCTTCATTGAACCAAGTAAAATAATGAAAAAAAAAGTTGAGAATTCAACTCTCTTTTACATATGTTTTCTTTTTTGGTAAAGCCCTCAATAATCATCTATGTCCTAGTACATTAGAGGAATTAACATCGTCCATCTTTGGTGATGATCCATATCCATATCCATTTGAATTCAATTTAAACGAAGATCAAAATTTATCAACGTATTGTGATACATATTTAGTGTGTTATGTTTCTACGAAAAAAAAACAGATTTTGTTGTTTTCTGAATAAAACTTTTTTTTCGTCTAATTTAGTGTCCATACAATGAAAATAATGGTGACGTTAACTCGAACACCATTGCACTTAATTCACTTCATAATAATAATATTTTTGAAGACCGTGATATCATTCCACCATCTGCTAATAATCATGAAAATCTTTCATATGCACCACCATCAACAAATTTTTCTCAAGATAACCATCAAGTTCATCATACAACAGGTAGTAATCCGTGAAATAATATACCAACTGATACAATAAACTATTTTCTAGCATATGAAACTATTTCTAACAATACACTTACATTTAACAATGGTAAAAGTTTTGATGTTTTCGAGTCTTGTTTACATCTACCTTACAATATTCTTACTAAAAGTTTTTTTCAAATAATAGATACTACAATCGATACCTCTATGTCGGTCCCCAGTTCTATGCCAGTTACAAAAAGTACAACTGAAATGTTGAACTGTTCAGGGATGAAGGCCTCACAGAGTGGAAGAAGAATGAAATACGAACAACTTTCAATTGGTACGAATGTAAACGCAAAATAATAAAATTCTATGAACAGGTTTTTTTTAATAATTTAGAAGATCAAAAAATTGCACGTAAATTTCGATTTGATTTGATCGGTAACAAAACTTTCGAAAAACGACTCTTAAACAATGACCGTATGTCAAAGCAAATGTATGCCATTACATGTTATACCGATATTCGAAGTAAGAAACAATCATAATTTCTAATACTATTCAAATCAAACTAAATTGTATTTATAAATACTCTATTTTTTTTTTTTATTCAATAGAAGAATACGTTATGCGTGAAATATGTCGGCAATTTTCATTGGATATTATACAATATGCATGTGTGTCTGTCGATCATTCTCCAACAACAACAGAATATTTTACAATGTACATACAAATCCTTTTAAAAAGAAATAAGAACAAATTCGGTTGGTTTCTTGACAAAATCACCGGTATGAAGAAAATATAAAATTTAATATAATACTAATTCTATAACATTTCCTATACTAGGTGATAAATGTAATTATCATGTAACGAATAAAGAGTTGGCATGGAATGAATTTATTAAAAAAGGCAAGTGATTTGTGAAGATCAAGAGTCTAACTATTTATAAAAATGTTTTATTTTTAGATCGTGTTTACATCGAAATCGGCCATTTTCAATCCAATCGTGTTCGATAAAACAACACCATCAACAATCAACAAATCAATCATAATCCAACAGACTCAATGATCACACATTTGAACTTTTGTACATACGTATTTATTTTTTTTTAAAAATTGGATGTACTTCTATTCCAATACTTGTGATCCGGTGAAAATAAAAATGTATTATAGCCTAAGTCATATAATAAATTAGGTTTTGTTTTTGAAGATTTTTTTTTGTATTTTTTTGCAGTGACTTCTTGTTAAAAGTATATATTTGTTTTTTAAAAAAAAAATATTTGAAACAATATTATGAAGATGATAATTGGACGTAAAAAACTATCAGATGATTACAATTTCTAGATAAGATTAAACTAAATTTTGAATTGCCTGTTTAGTTTTATGCAAATTCTCAAACTATTTCCGTTAGTTCATTGCCATAGTCAAATATTCAAGTACATTGTTCATTTGAATTCGTAGTTTATTTGGATACTATACATAGTTGACTATACATGAGTGGATTCAACCAAACGCAATATGAAACTGTACAATGTGAATCATACAGATAAATCCGAGAAAAAACCATCCACATGATTTGGTGTGGAAGCAATACTCAGGAACAATTGCAATTCGTGCTTCATGTAACAAAAAAGAAATATTTTATTAGCAATTGTTTGGGAATAAATAAAAAGAGACAATTCAGAATTAATTTTAAGGCTTCATAATTTTCACTTTTCTTAAGTGAGACTATCTTTCAGAACTTATTCTACAAGAAATAAACGCAATCAATTCCACTTTAACTCGTACCGATACTGTTATGGTCATCATGTAAAAAAAAACAAAATTTTAAACGATTTACAACTTCATACACAAGAAACCGTTAGTGACAGAACGGAAACAAAATAAATAAGTAAACCAATGCGCATATGTTAACGTATCCAGAAGGAAATTCGCTATAATAGAACGAAAATACGAAAAAGAAGAAAATAAGCATCGGACAACTTTAAAATATCACGTTTCATTTTCAAATACATATTTCGTTGTGCTATGTCTTCCACGAAATCAATGTCGAATATGTTCCAATCCTCATAGAATGCAGCTGCAATTACTATCAGTCAACACCTACGAGTCAAAGAAAATATAATTGTGGATGATTTGAGAAATCCATTGTTTCATGACACTAATTTAAAGGCACGAAAAAAAGCCAAAGATAATGAACTCAACAAGTTCCGAAAAAGAAATTCGACTCAATATAGCTGACTCCAAGAATTGAACTCCATTGATTGACAATATATGTAGCAACTGTGACAAAAACTATGACATAAAGTTTAAAATATTCTAAGGATTGAAAAAACGTTCGGCAAAGGCCAAACAAAAACAAAAAGTCATGTAGAAGCACAGGCTTTCTCAAACACGTCATGAAAACTTCAAAAGTATCAGCGAATGTAGCACAAATCACAAAAATCATAAAAATATATGTCAGAGAACAAAAAAAGAAAAGGTTTGCAAAGACCAAGTGTCTTTAAATGTAACTAAACAACTGACTCTAATTAACAATAGAGACATGAAAACCATCCGACAATATAGTACACATGATCACAAACATAAACATATAGGTTAAACATCATAAAACCATAATCTCGAAAAACCTAGGGGTTTTTAAATGCAAATACCAAGCGCAC